CTCTAAACAACAATAATAACTAAAAGAACAATTAGCACAAAAAATGGAAGGTAGAGCCTGAATTTTGTTTCCCCCACACACATGTTAAAGCCCTAATCTTCAATGTGGGTGTATTTAAAGATGGAGCTTTCAGTAGGTAATTAGGGATACAGGAAGATGATGGGATTAGAGCTTGTATAAGAAGGAGAAGACAGAGCTTACTTTCCTCCTGCCGTGAACATACAAAGAAGAGTTCATGTAGTATACAGTGAGATGGAGGCTGCCTACAGGTCAGGAAGAGAACCCTCATCAGAGCACAACCATAATAGCACACCGATTTTTGTACTTCGAGCCTCCACAACTGTCAGGAAATAAACTTCTATCACTTAAGCAACCAAATATATGCTATTTATTATGGCAGACTGACTAACTAGTACAATGGGTGAAAGACTTGAATAGACATTTCTCCAAAGAAAACGTATCAATGGTTGAGAAGCATATGAAAAGATGCACAACATCAGTAATCACAGGGAAATAAAAATTAAAACCACAATGAGATATCATCTAACACTGATTAGGATGGCCTCTATCAAGAAACCAGGAAACAAAAAGTGTTGGTAAAGATGTGGAGAAATTAAAGCTTAGTCATTGTTAGTGGACGTCTTAGTCTGTCTTTCATTACTATGTCAGAATACTGTGTTCCAGGTAATTTATAAAGAAAAGAAGTTTATTTAGCTCATGATCCTGGATGCTGGGAAATCCAACAGCATGGCACTACCCTCTCTGGTGAGGGTCTCATGCTACATCATAATGTGGGAGAAGGGTAAATGAACATGTGAGATGGAGCTAGAGAGGGAAGGGACAAACTCATGTGTTTCATCATGAACTCACTTCTAAAATAATTAATCCATTCATGAGGGTGGAACCCTTAAACCTAATAACCTCTTAAAGACTCTGCCTCCTATAGTGTTACAAGGGCAATAAAGTTTCTACTGCATAAACTTTGGGGAGAACATTCAAACCACTTCAGTGGGAATATAAAATGGTAAAGCCACTATGAAAAATAAGATAGAGGTTCCTTAAGAAACTAAAAACAGCTATCAGAAATCCTACTTCCAGGTACATGGTATCTCCAAAAGAATTGAAAATAGGATTGCAAAGACATACTTGCACACCCAAGGCCATTGCAGCATTATTCTCAATAGCTAAGAGATGAAACAACCTAAATATCCTTCAACAGATAAATGGATAAAGAAAATGTGGTATATATAAAATGGATTGTTATTCAGTCTTAATAGAAAAGGAAATCCTGTCACAAGCTACTGCATGGGAGAACCCTGAGGACATTATGCTAAGTGACAGAAGCCACTCATAAAAAGACAAATACTGCATAGTTGTACTTTTTTTTTTTTTCTGGTGAGAGGAAGACAGACTCTTACTCCCTTCCTCAGGCTGGAGTGCAGTGGCACCAGCTTAGCTCACAACAGCCTCAAATTCCTGGATTCAGGCGATCCTCCTGCCTCAACCTCCTGAGTAGCTGGGACTACAGGTGTCTGCCACAGTGCCCAACTAATTTTTCCTCTTTTTAGTAGAGACCAGGTCTCACTTTTGCTCAGGCTGCTCTCACATTTCTGATCTTCTGAGCTCACATCATGCTCCATTGTTGGCCTCCCAGAGTTCTAGGATTCCAGGCCTGAGCCTCCACACCTGGCTGACTGTCTCAGAAACTCTCCTCTCAAAGCAGTATAAGAGGAAATGAGCACCTCACCTTGATTTTATAATACCTGGGGATTACTTTATTCACCTGATGCTGCCTCTGGTCAGTGACATGTGGGAAAGATCAGGGAAACCGAATAGGTCTCTCAAACCCTCTCCCAGAATCAAGAGAAAGAATCAGATTCATTTGGGGGTAAGAGGATCATGTAGTATGAATAAATACACATAAATCAATTATTCATCTTTACTTAATATATTAGTTATTTTCTGTTCTTCTTCTCCTTCTTCTTCTTTCCCTTTTTTTCTTTTCTTTTGTCTTTCTTTCTTTTTTTTTCAGACAGAGCCCCAGGCAGAGGGCTATGGCGTCAATATAGCTCACTGCAATTTCAAACCATGAGCTCAAGGGATCCTTCTACATCAGCCTTCTGAGTAGCATGTCATGATGGCCAGTTATGTTTTGTCAAAATTTTAGTAGAGATGGGGTGTAGTTTATGGTCAGTCTTGTACTGAATTCCTGAGCACAAGCAATCCTCTCATCGCAGCCTCCTCGAGTGCTAAGATTACAGCATGAGCCATAGAGCCAGATTGAATGTTTCCTCTTCTAAGACATTTAATTTCCTGATTATGAGATTAGTGTTAGAAAGATTTTGGTGGATTTACAACTTAATTAAGATTTCATTAATTCCCTTCTGATTAACTAACAATGTTTACCAGAAAAGATTTTTGTTTTTAAAAAAGAATGACTGCATTCATTTACTTGTTTAATTTTTTTTTTCTTTGTAGAGACAGGATCATGATCTGTTGCCCAGGCTGGAGTGCAGTGGCTGGATTACAATTTGCTGGATTGCAGTTTGCTGTATCCTGGGCTCCCACAATCACAATCCTCCTGTGTCAGCATCCACATTAGTTGGTACTATAGGAGTACCCCACCACATTTTGGAAATTTTTCTTATTTTTCCCAGAGACAAGGTCTTACAACAGCTTAGGTTGGTCTTCAACTCCTAGCCTCAGGCCATCCTTCTGGCTTGGCCTCCCAAAGTACTGAGATTATTGGGGTGAGCTAATGCACCTGGCCCAAATTTTGAAAATATAGAAAAACACGGATAATTATACTGGAAAGCCTATACATTCATATTCATTCAGTCCAATCTCAACATTCTGCACAACTGCTTCAAATTTTGTTTTTAATTTCTAAATTGAAAATTCCAGGATGGGTGTGGTGGCTCATGCCTGAAATCCCAGCACTCCTGGAAGGCTTAGGTAGGTGGAATGCTTGAGCTGAGGAGTTGGAGACCAGTTTGAGGAAAAGTGAGACTCCCATCTCTATCCAAAATAGGAAAATTAGGTGGGTGCTGTGGCAGGTGCCTATAGTCCCAGCTACTCAGGACTCAGGTGGCTGACACAGGAGGATTCCTTCAACCCAAAAATTGGGGGATGCTATGAGCTGTGATGAGGACATGGCACCCTACCCAGGGCAACAAAGTGAGACTCCACATCAAAGAATATTTCTCAATTCAAAATAATAATAATAATAATAAACGCTTGTAAAATGCACCATAAGTGTGGTCCAACCAGCTAAGTGTAGAGTATAAATCTCTTAACACAATAATTTAAAAAATGCCATGAAGGCTATGTTAACCATTTTGTTGTAAGTATTTCAAATTGTATATACAACCAGCACATTGTACCCTATAAATGCATTAATGGACACAGCTATAATTTAATAATGATAATAATAAACAACAATAATTAACAATAAACAAAAACCCAATGAAGCCATGGGGGAGTCAACTGCCAGCACTTCCTTGTTCTGTTGTGATAACAACTATTCAGATTTTGGTAGCCCTATTCATATTCAGATTTTATACATTTATGACTTATTATCGTATCCATAAATAATATATGTCATTGCTTTACACATTTGAAAACTTTATAAGAATAGCCTCTTAGTGTATGTATTTTTTGGCAGCTTGCTTGCTTGGTGAACATTTCTGGTTTTGAGGGAAGACTCTGTTTCCTTTGTTAACAAGATGCAGCTGAGACCTAAATTGAGGCTGGTCTCAGGAGTTTACCTTTAAATCCTTTGGCCTCTCACCTTGTTGCCTAGGTGTCCATTCTTCATCTGAATCCTCAGCATGATCCACCTGGTATTTGATGGCCTGTCTTCGGTGACCCATGAAAGCCAGTCGAGGGGCTCTGAGACCTGACAAGAAACAAAATCTTTGTCCTGAATAGAAAAACCTGGGAGGAGGAACAAAGGGCAGTAGCAAAGGAAAGTAGCACAAAGGCAGTGGGGCTCTGCCTGCTGAGCTAGGAGAGTCTCAGCCAAGGTCAAGGTGTGACCTCTGCATGGCCAATATTAACGCTCAGTGTTGTATTAACACAGAGGAACAAAATTTCCCTCCAGATTTGTGTCCATATAGAAGGGAACTGTGGGCAGATGCTGCCACCTAAGAGAAGGCCAAAATAACATATCAGGACTGAAAATGTGGTTTGTGTTTCCTGGGTTGGTCTGCCCCTAGCACTTTCTGTTACCTCTGTCAGTCGGCACATCATAGTTCCTTTCCACATTCCTATGGTGGATTTTCTCCTGGGTTCCCTTCTCGGCCCATTCTTCCTTGGAGAAATATTTTGAAATGTCCTTGAAAGCATTTTTCCCCTAGAGAAAGTAAAAAATGCCATCAGTGCTTTCCTAGTACACATCAAGCTGGGCCTTTTCCTTTACCTTGAGTGTAAGGTGCAGCCTCTTGTCCCTACAAAACAAGGGTAAAGACTCCCTCTCGCCCCAGATTATGTCCTGTTTCACAGAGCAAACACTAAACATTTTCCAAGTTCTCCTATGACAGAGAGCAGTTGTTGATACTTGTGTCCTTTCCCCTCCCACATCTTAGATAGGACCAACTACCCCCATTCTATACACGTGCAGACAGGGTTGCCCAGGGGTGCAGGCCAGGAATTTTGCAGACTTTCAGAGATCAGATCCTTAATATTTTGTCCCCTCCTCACCTTTCCTACCGACACTGCTTGAAGCCAGATTTCACCACCCCCTTCTTCTTATTGTGGGCTTTCATACTCTTCTCCCTTTTCTACCCCTGGACTCTCCTCTTGAGACCTATTTGGGCTCATGGTGCTCAACTTCCTAATAGGGTCTGCTTCAACTCTGAATTTGGGAAGGGCCTTTGAGTCTCTCAGCTCCTAGGCCAAGGTTGTGGAAGGAGAAGGTACTAAGAGAGGGTGCCAGCCCAGACCATTTCCAAGAGCCAGACTCTGTTGTCTCTCCTGGCCAGGGCTGTCCAGAACAGGAAGATTTGGGCACCATGCCTACCAAAGAGGCCTTGGGGTATATGGATGGGATGGGGTGGTCTCTAGCAGTCTGGCAGATCACGTAAAGTGAGCTGAATGTGGTTTCTTCAGTTGGCTGATCTGAGGAAAGGTGGCAAAGGGGTCTGGAGGGTTGTCCCTAAGGGTGTTTGAGGGAAGTCCTGAGGCGTGAGGGCCAGAAAAGTTCCAAGAAGACCTTCAGGCCCCTTGACTGCCTCAGGTCAGGCTGATTAGCAGGGTTCTGTTCCAGTGAGGGAAAATGATCCTGTCTCTTAGAAGGGTTCTGGTGCTTTTGGGGGTTGGGTCTCATGCTGAGGGGATTCACATGTACTGGCCTTCCAGGTTTGCCTATAAGAAGTCTCTCAAGGTGGTAGGATTTGGGGGCCCTTGAGGCCAAGATGATTTGGAGGTTCTCAGACTGCAGTGATGTGGGCTCTCTCAGGCTGGAATTTGAAGGGCTGCAGCTGGGAGTTCCTAAGGGATTCCTACTGCACAGCGAAGGCCTGTGAGCTCCTGTTAGTCTGCCCCAGTCTCTTCCCATGTTGCCCACTTGAAGCCCCTAGGGCGGTAAGACGAGGTGAAGGCCCAGCTATCCATCTGCAGTGTCCTGTTAGTACACACAAGGTGCTAGTCAGCATTCCAACCAGAGTGATCTTGCACTAAAGGGGTAAAGCCATACCTGTCAGTCATCAGCGCACACCAGGTCTGAGCTGGGGCAGTCGGGCAGGACCTGCTCTTTCCTGTGTCAGCAAAGCCCCACCAACGCCATGGGGATTGGCAAGGCTGGGTCTTGCTGCTGTGTTTAAAAGCCACCAGTAGGCCTGGAGTGCTGGCTCATGTCTGTGATCCTAGCACTCTGGGAGGCAAAGGCAGGTGCATTGCCTGAGCTCAGGTGTTTGATACCAGTGTGAACCAGAGGGAGACCTCATCTTTAAAAACAGCCCTGTGTCCCAGCTACTTGGGAGGCTGAGGCAAGAGAATGAGTTAAGCCACAGGAGTTTGAGCTTGCTGTGAGCTGTGAAACTATAGCACTCTACTGAGGGTGACAAAGTGAGACTCCAACTCAAAATTTTTTTTTTAAAAAACTGAATAATTTATACTGTCACAGAAATGGTTTTGTTGCTCTTGTTTACTAGAGGTGATTTCCCAATACACTCATGTAAAAAGATAGAATATTTAAACTAAGTTGTCCAGTGAGAGATGTATTTACAACAATGAAAATGAGACAGAGGCCATCACACCTATGTGAATCAGAATGTTTTCACTGATAAACTACTTATAGCAGGTGTGTATTCATTACAAATATTTGTATTTGCCAAAGAAGAACCACTTTAAATAATGAGTTTTATGTTATATCTAAACTGGATACAAGCATATGTTTAAACTGAAAGGTATTTACTTGCCAAAGAATCTCCTTCAATATAGTGATCTAACTTCTGATTATTTATAGATTTTATAAATTTTAGAATCAATTTCTCTTTAAGGTTGGTCAGTTTGAATATAGTGATTTAGCTTCTGATTATTTATAGATTTTATAAATTTTAGAAGCAATTTCTCCTTAATGTGGGGCAGTTTAACTCTTGTGCACATAAAATGGAATTGAAGTTTATTATGCTTTTTTTTCTTTATCCAAATTTTAAGTTCAAGCTTCATATGGTACCTGCATCCTGTTCAAAGAATTATAGTCTAAAGGTTTCAGACTGTATTGTGTTCTCTACAAGTAAGGGTAACAAAATCAAAGCTATTTAAAATCACAAGCTTCAGTGAATCCTTAACGCCCAAATCTTCTGAATATTGTGAATTTTACCCCTTCCAGCTTGGTTTCTTCTGGATTCTGTGTACTTAACTGACATTTACATTTTAAAATCAACACACATTAAGATTAAAATTGGGCCTCTATTGTGACAGTCCCTATTTCCTCTTGTATTTTAAGTGCAAACTAACATGTAAGAGAACTTCAGCATCAAGTAATGCAAACACAAGTGTGCATTGGCTTGATTCAATTTGTTATGACCTTAGCAGTTTTCAACTGAAATTACACCATTTCCTAAATAAAGAAAACAAAGTATATTGCTGCACTTTAAAATTTTCAAGACAGCATTTAAAAATTGCCTTTTTTTTTTTTAAAAAAACTCAGTTCAAAAAGATTAAAACATGCTTTTAATATAGGCATGTATATGTGTTCCTACTTTTGTATATGTACTTAGGTTTTGTACCCAATAGAAAAAATGCTTTTGAATTATGTGTAGCCCCACAGCCTCAAAATCTCCCCATTGACATTGATAAGTTAACTAGCACAAATGATTTTCTACAGTTACTATAAAATACTGATTGGCTCTGTCCTTCATTAAAACTCATGACAAGAGACTTCGACACCCTTTTGAACATTCTTTTCTTTCTTTCCTTTTCTTTTCCTTTTTTTGAGACAGAGCCTTGCTATGTTGCCCTCAGTGGTGTGTCATGATATCACAGCTCACAGCAACCTCAAACACTTGGGCTTAAGCAATTCTCTTTCCTGAGCCTCCCAAGTAGGCGCGATTAGAGGTGCCTGCCACAATGCCCCGCTATTTTCTGTTGTTTAGCAGGCTCGGGCCAGGTTCGAACCCACCAGCCCTGGTGTATGTGGCTAGCGCCCTATCCACTGACATACAGGCACTGAGCCCCCTTTGGATATTCTTATAGGAACAGCTAATACTTACTCGTCTCATTCTTTAACACCTGGTGCAACAGAAGCTCTAAACAAGGTCAACCGCACTTTGCAAGGAACATAGCTCACTAATCTTTCCTACTCCTCATACGCTTATTGCTTTGCTTTGACAACTTCTTGGTACGTTTTAGTACAACACCAAAACAGGATTTAACTCCCTTTTATAAAATAGCTAATGCATTAATTAAAAAGGGAATACAATGCTTTGGCAGCTCCTAGACACTGGTCCTATCTGTTTGGGAAACTTTCCCATGGTGGCAAATTATATGTGATAATTTGACTGGGTATTGCAACCATAGTTGTTAAGGATAGAATATTTGCTGAAAAGGTAGCTTACACCTCACCTCACTGAGTTGAGTTACATGCTGTCATTATGTCATTTTCTCTTTTTTCTCAAACTCCATAGGAACAAATTAAAGAAGGGGCAGATATATCCCAGATATCCCTCATAACCTTCTCTCTCATACCCTTTTACTTTGAAATTTTAAATGTTGATATCCAAGGACATACAACAGCACAGTAAAATTGGAATTCACCTAAATCTAAACATACTGAGGTGCTATTGGAGGACCCACTAAGTAGTATTTAGCTAGGGCATGACCCTGTTCTAATTTGGGGGAGAGGATGTGTTTGTGTCTTTCCTACAGCAACTGACATCCCTCATTGGCTCCCAAAATAGTAGGTCAGACATGGACCCAGAGAAATATCATCAATGAAGAAGCTGAGATTGACACCCCACATGATCTACCACCAAGCCAACGCATCACAGAAAGCAAAGCCCCTGACCTAGGACAAGTGAAGAAGCTGACACATGAGGGAGTTGATTTTGTGCAATGTTGTGGTGAATCAGTCACCCCCAAAAAACTTTTCACAGCTATGATAGCTTTTGTTTCTTCTTATTCATCTGCAAAGTCAGAGTCAAGCAACTTCTCCAAGTAAAATCATATGTTCATAAGTTGGCACTAACTAATTGGCACTAAGAAATAAAAAGGGAGGAGATACGGAGAGCAGACTGTGAGCTGAGAACACCCCCACAGCCTGGGAGGTGCATTCAAGGAATGACCCCTAAGCTGCTTCTCCTCCCTTTCTGAAAAACAATAGTCCTTTCTCCTTGCTCCCTCTGCCAGAAGTCACGTAACTTCTGTATACTTTTTTATCTTTTGCCTAAAAGCACATAGCCTTCTCTCCCCTAAAGATAATCCTTACCCCATGTACCATTACTTCCCCTTAGCCTTGTAAGGTGAAAATATTCCCATTTGCTTTCCTTGCTGATTTGCAACATACTTAGTATAAGCAACCTTGTTTGGGTACTATATAAATAAAGCTGTTCACATGGTTTGGTGCTGGCTGCAGTCAAAAGCTGCACCAGACCTGCTGACACCATCACTTTGTGGGTGATCTTTCTCTCGTGTGTGTCTTATTCTCTCATTCCCCACCATCCTACTCTGGTTTGTTTACACTTCACGATGGCTAGTGAAACCCACACAGACAGCAAAACTTGAGTTTTCATTGAGAATGGACAGTAAGGTTCTGCCCTCTTAATTAAAGAATCATGTTTGCCAAAGGGCCACACTTGCCCATGTCACACTCAACAATACACTTTGCTGTAGTGGGAGGCACAGGAAGGGAGG